CATGAAATATTTCCGAAGAACAGGCAAGAGGTTAGTTGAAAACACAGGGGAATGTGGGCAGCTAAACTGTGCATCCACCTCTTGCTGCCTGCTGATCTTACAAAGATGATCAGGGATTTCCATCTATGGGGGGGGGGGGGAAGCGGACATGGGAGATGGGGTGGTCAGCCTTTGGAAGGGGCTTGTTTCAAATTTTGCAAAACCAGGGTTTGCTTTCTCTTCCCTTGGAGGCTCTGACCTGGCCTCTGCAGGAGCTGCTGGTGGCCAGGCTCACATCCTTCCCCTGGCACAGCCGTGCTCTGCTCTGTTGTGCGGCAGCTTATTGCCACTGCAGTTGCATGAAGCAAGTTTGGCTTTGACAGGAGGGAAGCAAGATTGAGTATGAGCATTTTAAGGTTATGAAAATGTAAATCCTGATTGGCTATGACTAGCTTCTGTCTTTCTGCCCTTGTCTGGGCTAGGAGTTCATATTGTTCAGTGAGACCATTTGTTTTGTAGGGACCAAGTGATTGAAAACAGTCATGATATTACTATGTGTGGACAGTACATTTTTTCCATGCATTTTCATAACCCTTTTCCCAAAGGATCAGAAGCATCTTTATTCTATAACTCCACAATGAGTTGGAGCAGCTCCTCAGGCGGGAATTGTTCTGCTCCGTGGACTACTTAATGCTTCCTATAAACTACTGCCAAATTAGGTAGGTAATACTCAATGTTTCTGACCTGAGTAGCAAACTATTTGTAGCTGTGTATCAAAGGAGAGATAGGGCTGGAGATACTAGAGGTGAGCTTGGGGTTACAGAAGAGAAAATGATGGCTGTAAAGAACGTGAGTTTATGCATTGTAAGCATATGGGTACAGATGCATTTCCCTCAGGAGCTTTTCAAGGAAGTTTTGATATCAGGGCTCTGTTGTATCTCTGTCACCTCTGACACATAGGAGAAAATGTGTCTAGTTGAGAGTGGAGTTTCACTAATGATGCACGGCTTATATTTTTAAATATGCATGTGCCTATGTAACCTTTTCCCCTCTTAGCACTACACAATTCTCTAAACATTGTCTAAACATGAGGTGTGGAATCGTTAAGAGATCACTAAGTCAGAGTAGGGCCCCTTGGTCCTTCACAGCCTTCAGGTGGGAGCATCCCACCTTGCTTGCCATTTGGGAAAGGGCTCCCTGTGGCTGATGGGACTCTGGTGGTGTTCCTTGGGAATCCCAGGCCTTGCCCGCTTTGTGACCCAACCAAAAGGCAAGTGGGTCACTGTGGCAGATGCTGCCAGACTGCAGGATGGGGAACAGTGCCCTGCCAAGGTGTGCACAAGATGTAGATCAAAGCCTGGTATTCTGTGGGACACAGAATAGCTGAGGGCTGGGATGCTCGTGATGAGGAGAGCTCATTTTTGTGAGCTCTGTGACTGTTCTCAGTAGACAAGCTTTTCTATATTTTCCCCCTTCAGCCCCCTCCCCATTCATTGCCTCTCTCCAACAGCCCCTCTGAGACGACCTGCTCTCCCTGCCTTATGTAGGAGTGATGTGGCTGCACTGTCCTCAGCCCCTTGCAATGCTTCTTCTGAACAGTGTTTTGTGAAGGGATGGTCTGCAGACCCGTGCACTTCCACTTGGAAGAGTCCTTTTCTTCCCTCTTGTTTTTTCCTCCCTCCTCCCTCCCCTCCTTTGCTCTCAGAAAACATCTGTTTCCAGATGTTGTTCTTGAGTCTAATAAACGCAGCAAAAGGCCTTGAGTTCATATATTTACAATAGCTGGAGATGTCAGCTGCTAGTTAATGGCTCGTTTGAGCACATCAAGACCCCCACATTTCCTGGGGGGGTGGGAGGAGGATAAAAAGAGAAGTGGGGTTGCGCTTATTTTCTCCTTACTAAATGGATCGAAAAGGAGAATCTCTCTACAAGGCAGCTTTAGAGATTACTGATGGGATTGAGTGCACAGCCATCTCCATGCAGTTGGCCTCAGCTTCCAGTTAGTGACAGGAAGAGCATGTTTTCTTTTTCTTTTTTTTTTTTTTTTTTAATGAAAAGCTCCACTTAAAGTGTAGTAAGGAAGATCTGCTGCTGTTGCCCACCCTTTTCCAGGCCAAATGAAGACTCTCTAGGTAATTTGCTGGCTTGAACCATGTGTGCAGAAGCTTGAAATCTCATCTGTGCCCGGCTCTCTCATTTCTGACTGGCTGTGTATGGTGGTATCTTCTGGAGTCAGAGGGATTGTGGTCTTCTGCAATGAGACCTCTTGGTTGCTTGCTATGCCCTATGAGGAGTCCCCACACATCATTCCCCTTTGAGAACTGTGTGTCTGTAGCAGAGAAACATTGAGGAATCCCTCTGTGGAAGACATTGATGCCCACATGTGAATGTCCAAGGATGGATAAAGTGCTGGTGCCAGCTACCGACTGGCAAACCTGGTGGCTCCCTTACCTGTATGTAACCGTGTCCAGTACACTGTTTGACCCAATGCCACGTGCTAGATGTGAAACACTGTGTTCTGTTGTATGGATATATTTGGTTGTCTTGGGAGATACATATTACCTTATATTTGCTCCAGATTTCGTTGCGTATATGTGCTGAGGTCTGTAACCACCCCTGGAGGACCAGATATAAGTGGCGCAAACGTATGGTCGCTGTCCTTGTCAAGCACTGGATCAGCCTCCTGGAGAAGAGGCTCTGAGAATTGCTGGTCTGTGAAATCACTGATTTGCTGAGCATCTGCTTCTACTTGACCAAATTCAAGAGTCACGAACTTACACGAGGGCTGGTTTCAGGCTGGCACCGACCACCTGTTAAGCTGCCGAGGGAGCTGAATGTTGGGCTTAGCTTAACTCCAGGAGCTATGAGATGACTCTGTGTGCTGGGGCGGTCTCTGGAGGCACCTTGTTCAACAGGCAGTGCTGCATGCTCTACACGCACAGTTGGCTCAAGGTTTGTAGCTAAATTAGTCCATTTGTACTGGCATGGGTTGACAGGCTTCCTAAATGCATTGTAGATAGAAAAATTACCCCTCTACAACCCAGGCTTCCCTGTGAAACCCAGATGACTGCAGCTTCCCCAGCCTGTGGCAGCTATAAGATAGCCTGTAAGTGAACTGATCAGCTGGAGAGGAGCTGGCGGGGAGGCAGGAAAAGGCACTTACAGAGTCATTCAGGCGATGCTCATGACTGGACAGCAGGATCTTTACTGCAAATCAGAGGAAAAGAGTAGAGAGCTCTCCCCAGCTGGTGCAGGGAAACGAAATGTAGACACCCAGCAGATTTCCACTTTCAGCTTAGTGGGTGCATTTTCCTGATTTCTGGTGCTTGGACTGGTGTAAATGAGACAGCCTTCAGTTAAAGCTATGTATGATGGAAGCAGGTTGTTGCTGTCCTCAGCAGCTGAACCCTGGCCTTTAAGTCATGTTATTTCAGTATCCTCTAGGATGCCTAGCATCCCAGTTATTTCCCCATCTACATCAACAATTTTCAAATGTTTTTATCCCCAGCTTCTCAGCATCTCTTCTTCACTTCTCATTGTCCCAATATTTAGAAAAAATATTGCTATGATGGCAGATGGCATTTTTGGTGGCTCTGTGGACCAATGATTTCTGTCCAGCACCAAGAGGCCGAGCCATGGCCTTGAAGAGTCCTTTCCCTCTGCCAGGAAATAGGCTGTGAATGTGTGTGAGTGACTGAGCAAGGGGTGTCAGATGGGGGAGCTGCACCTCCTGAAAAAATAGACACTCCTGCATGCATCTGGTCTATGTGTTACACAGCCCTGTTTGCTCATATGAGAAACTGATGAAAAGCTGCAGCCATCAGAGGACTGTTCTCCATGCACACCAGAGTGGTGAGGATAATTCGATCAGTGAGATGACAACAAACCTGCTAAAAGAAATAAAGAATGGATTTCCTGCCTTGCAGACACTAAAACCCCACTTTGGGAAGCGAGTGGCTGCAAAAGGCATGAGGTGGTTCAAAGAATTGGGGCTGTGTGCTACCGGGCCCTCCAAGGGTTTGTCTGGAGGAGAAGAAACAAGTCTTGCTTGCTTTAGCCTGCTCCCCGAAGGTCTATTTCTTCCAGCCCTCTGAAATGGAGAGCGGGAGAGAGATGAATATGAGTTTTCTCTGCCAATAATTTCCAGCACAGACTGCACGCAAAATCTTCATTTAAAATGTGTAAATGACAGCGAAGGAGCCACAAGGGAGCCAGATTTTAAGAGACCAATTTGCTGCCCGGCTTTTAACGAGTGCGTGCAGCAATGGGCCCTGTGCTGCTTCGCTGCTGTGTGTGCACAAGATGTAGATCAAAGGATGGACGGACGGGCAGGGGACGGGCAGGGGCTCAGCAGAGCCCGTGTGTCACTCTGGAGGGTGAAATATTGTATGTCATGCTTGGAAAATCTGGGGGAGGTGGGCCTCTTACTCTTGAAGAACAGAAAGGGGCTTTGTTTCCTGGAAGCGTGGCTTGGGGCTCCCCTGTAGCACGTTTTGGGGAGGCTGCCTTCTGCTGAGGGGGGTTCTGCCTGTTGCCCTATGTCCAGTGGGATGTGGGGGAGATGATGGGAAGCTCTGCTTCACTAGAGGGCCTCAGCAGATTAATTCCTCTGAACGTCTGTGTTTCCTGGGCTTGTTGGGTCTTAGGACCAGCTCAAGCCCCAGGCGTTTCCCACCTCGTGCTGTGGTTTGCCTGCCTGGGGCATCACTCTCCCCTGCCTTTGGTTAAGTTTTTGTGAGCATCCTTGGCTTTGATCCCCAGCTGTTTCTCTCTGACTCTCCCCCTGCCCAGCTGTTCCTCTCGAATCCTGGGGTCAAAATACCCCACTGCCCCTTGCCTCGGTGCCGCCTTGGGGTCCGGCTGGGGGCTCGGCAGCCCACTTGTGCCGTCCCATTTGCGCACTCCGGCTGCCGGGAGGAAAGCAAGGCGCGGGCTGGTGCGAGCCCAGCCTTTGCTTTACAATCTCTTTCCTGCCGCTATAAATAACCTCAGCGAGAGCCACTTCAAAGGGAAGGGCTGGCGGCGGAGAGGTGGTTCGGAGACCGAGCGGGACCGGGGCGTCTCACAGCCCGATCCCACCCCGGCGCTTTGCATAAATAAATAAATCATGCGGAGAAGGAGAGGTGGAGAGAGCGGGCGAGCAGAGGAGGTTACTTTGGGAAGCCGCGGCTCGCTCATCCCAGCCCCGTCTTTTGGAGGGAGTGTGTCATGTTACAGAGGAGCCACGATCAGCCAGAGCGCAGCGTCGCCGGAACAGCTGAGAATTACCTCTCTCTAATGGGGACTTTCATGTGTGAGCTCCTGGCCGGTCTGCGAAGGAACTGAAACTGGCAGCTTAAAAGGAAATCAAAACCTACCAGCGACTCAAAAGACTGAAAGACAGAAAAAAAAAATTCTCATAAGATTTTTTTTCTCTCCGAATCTTTTGCTGCAGTTGGATCAATTTTTTTTCTTTTTCTTTTTCTTTTCTTTTTTTTATTTTTTCTGCGCCCCTTTTTGTATGTGTGTTTTTATTTTGCATTTTTTAGACACCCCCATCCACTTTTGTCATTCTTGCTGTTAACTGTCATTTGCTGGCACCGGGATCTCCTTGGACATTTGTTTTCTATGCCTTCTGGATTGTGCTTCTTGAAATAGGAGGGAGGCTTTATTTATTCTATTTATTTATTTATTGTTTCTCAGGACAGGGAGGGAATGTTGGAGGAGAAGAGCTGGAAAGGTGTTGGCGAAACAGCTTTTGAAAGGGGGTGCGTGGCTACCCCCAGGGCCGGCGACGGGGAGAGATGCTGCCGCCTCCCGCTGCTGCTGGGCTCGGGGCTGCCCGGCATCTCCCTGCTCTCTCTGGTGCTCAGCCTCCTGCTGTACTTTCGGACCTCTGATCTGCAATCCCGGGTGTCCCACTTGGAAGCGGACAGATCCACGCAGCTCCCTGCCTGGCTCTCAGCAGACCAAATGGAGACGGCTATTTTGGGAAGAGTTGACCAACTGCTTGATGAGGTTGGTGTCCTTTCATTTTGTGTGGACGGTATGCCTTACTATACGATTTAGTGTGTGTGCACACATATATTTGCATTGCGTGTTTCTCCCCACTTTAGAAACGTATTTCTGTGGGAGTGATGCTGCTAGGCTGAATTTCCCGTGCTTTCAGGTCCCTCCCACCTCTCAAACCTGCCTGCTGTTTACTTCCCTCAGCCCTAGCCCATGCTGTGTCTGAGCCCTAGCTCTTTGCAAAAGAGGAAACCTCATTCCCATTCCCTGCAGGGGGGAAGAGCCTCCTGCACTCTCTGTTTGGTGACTGGTGGCATTGCCTGCTTAAACAGCTGAGGCTGGAGATTAAATTTGTGAATTCAGTGTAGGTTTGAGACCTGGGAGAGGGACAGGCAAGGTACACTATAGCTGGTGTGACCATGGGAGGAGGGAAAGCCCAAGCTGTGCTGTAGCAGCAGGTAGCTGCTAAAAGGCCAAAGTCGTGACAGGCTGGCTTCTCTGTTGTGCTAGCCCTGACCCTTTCTGCTGTGTTTGGCTTGGGAAATGAGATGTGCTGGTGCTGCCAAGACAATTTCTGGTACTGCTGGGGCATCACTGCAAAGCATATGGCCATGCTACACCCGCTTGGGTCTCATCCAAACCCCACTAGAGCCAACAGGCTATTCCTCTAAGGATGAGGGCAGGAGAGCTGCTGCTGAAGAAGCCTGAGCTTGAGCCAGTAAAGAGAGTGGAAAAGCACGGACTTCCACCATTGATCTGGTAAAGCCTTTCCTTTCACTGAGCTGATGCTAGTGGGGTTTGTATGGGGGTCTTTGCCCCTGGAGGGAGCTCCCTGCAGGAGCCCTTGCTTCATCAGGATGTTGAAGTCATTTTGATACATCAGAGGCTACACAAGCAACATCCCAGAGTGGGGAACTGTGAGGAGAGTAAGCGCAAGTGCCACTGGTCAGACTTGTACTGCACGGCTGCACCCTTGTGCAGGGGTTGCATTCCCACCAGCGGGCAGAGGATGATGTGTAGCGTCCTCCTCATCACTGATTGCGTGAGTCTCAGGGGAAGCCAGGGTTTATCCTGGGTGATTTGAGACGTGCTGCAGGACCCCTCCTGGGAGCAGTGCCGGGGGGCTGGATGGACAGAGCGTCCTCATGCCTGTGGCACCTTTCTGCCTTTTTATAGCACAGCTTAGCAAGGAAATGGGGCTATCGCACTGCCCACATGCCCAGCAGCACCACTGCTTTCTGAGCAGCCCTGTGGTGGTCCCAGTCCCACAGCCAGTGCATGGAGCAGCTACAGGACAGGGGCTTCTGCTTCCACGACTGATATTGCTGAGACTGCCAGCTGTCTGCTTGGCCAAAGCATCAAAAGCAGCTTGGAGAAAGGCACCAGAGCCCAAGCAGGAGATGCCTGGCTCGGGTCTTGAGTTTTTAACATTCAGGGAGAGCTGCTGCCTGCAGGAGTAGCAGGAGGGCTGTGCACCCTACTCCAGGACTTTCTTTGCCCTCTCTGCCTGCTTTGGCTCAGCTCCTGAAGCAGGCGTTTCGGAGGTGGTGGCATGGAACAAGCAGCTCAAGGTGTAGGGTGGAGATCTGCTGTGATGGTGGGCTGGCACACACAACCCCGCCATTCTTTTTGTTATGTCTAAAGTGAGGTTAAGTTTTATGGTCTCCCAGAATGGATGGTGAGGGACAAGAAGGAGAGAGAAAAACAGAAAAGGAGGAAGGGAATAGGGAAAGATGAGAGAAGAAAGACTGGGAAAATAAGAGACAGTGGTGAGTTGGGCTGGGGAAATAGTGGCTGTGGCCAGAATGGCTGTGGTGGGTGTGAATATGAGATATTCATTCCTCCTCCTGCCTTGCTGCTTCACTGCCACAGTTTCCTCCTGTTTTGACCTTAATGGGTTTCACAGCTTCCAACTCCGCATTATCCATCACACACACAAAAAGAAAAAAAAAAAAAAGGTAGCAAGGCTTTAAAGAAGCCTCAGCTTTGCAAGGAGCTCACCATGATGGGTGGGGAAGTGGGAGGTGATGGACATAGGAGGGCACTGAAGCAAGGCTGAGGTCAGCCCTTGAAATTTTGTGAGTTTAGGGGGTGCTGCTGGTGAGCACAGCAGGAAAGGACAAGGTGCTGAGAGCCAGTGGCTCTTGCCCAGGGCATGCTCCATTTTTTGCTATGGGTGAGTTAAATCTCTGTTGCTCCTCTTCATTGCTATCCATTCCCTATCTTGTCTGCCCATGAGCTGACGGAATGTAAGAAGCAAAGCTTCTGAAGCCTGGTAGAGGAACTCTAAGTTTGTGCTTAAACTCATATTGCTGTGAGCTAGAGCACATGGTGCCCTCCAGAGTGTGACGTGTTCACATCTGGGTGTCCCCAGGGTGTGCAGGCAGCCTTGGGGACACCATAAGGATTGCACCAAGAAGTGCAAAATGCCAGAGATGTGGCAGGTGCCTGCTGGACAAACAGAAATAAAGCAGAACTGACAGGGAGAGGAGATGGGTTGGTTTGTATAAAGCATTAAGTTTAAGCCAACTGGTGGGAATGTTCCATCTCAGATCAGCAGGACAAGCAGAGAGAGATTCTTTCTGTGAGGCAGCCTGGCCAGCACTGCTTTGCTTGCTACAGTAAAAAGCTCTTCCTGGTTTCAGCAAACACCAGAGGGGAGTTTTCTGCAAAGGCACAAATTGACTGTTTTCCCCCGAAAATGTCTGCATGGAGTGGGCCAGAACGGGTAGTTCAGAGAGAACTTTGGCTCTGTGTAGGAATTCCCTCTGCATTTATAAGGCAACAGAAAATCATATAAAGATCACAAATAAACTCATTATTGGCATTAGTAGTAGAAAGAAAACTTTCCAAAGAAGAAAACAAGGTCCTTTCCCATGCTGGGTAACATTTGGTACTGTTTTGCTTGCCAAAAGCTTGGCAGGGTGGAGAGCAGGATGGGTTTAATGCTGCTGGCAGGGGAAAAAGAGCAGGAGTTGTGTGTGAGTAAAACAAAAGCAGGTAGCCTCTAATGCCTGGGGGAAGATCAGATGCCCTTCTGTTCCCTGATGGGTGCCCTTGGCTTCTCTGGTTTGGATCAAAGGTATTTGTCACCTGTCCAGTGATGCTGAGTGGCTGTGCCATGAACAGGAAGGGGGCTTTGGTCATCGCTGCTGTCCCAGTAGTCTGATTTCCCTGGGACACTCTCCTTACTTAAGCAAGCAAAGGAGGAACACCTGAAAACTCACTTTCCCACCTCACTTGAAGCTTTCTTTCTTTTTTTTCTTTCCTTTTTTTTTTTTTTTTTTATCATTTGTGTAAATATCTTCAGAACTACAGTGAAAAATGTATTCCCAAGTGTCAGAAGGTTTTCCTCTAAGCCTTACTTCTAGGAGTGGAAAACATTAAGATAAAATCATGAGAGTTCTTCTGTTTTTCCTTCTGATTCTTCTGCTACCTAAATCCCCCTTTCTTTCATCTCGCTGCTTGCTTTTGCTTCTGACACATAGTCCTGAGTTTCTAGGGACTGGACCTTTAAGAAAAAACAGCAAAATTGGAAATAAAACAATGAGAGTTAACAGAACCACCAGCCCTTGAAATCCTCCTGATGGTTGTAATAGATTATCTATTTAAGACATGTTTCTTTTAGCTGCTGGAGATAGTGGTGGGAAATGATTTCACCTCCCCGGGTGACTGCAAACAACTGCATCTGCTAAAGAGCTATTAATCTGCCCCCTTTGAAGAAGTGCCCTCTCTTTCACCTAATCTCAAGTGCCCATCCAAAATAGACAGTTGCAAGCCTTAGGAGGCCCCTTGTAGGAGCTGGTCAGCCCTGCCGCTGGCACGGGCTTCTTCAGCCACTTTCGTATGTGTAGGGGGAAGATAAGTCACTGGAAAGTATGACAGGCGAGAGCAAGCATGCCATATGGGCAGGCTGATGGTCTGAGAAGTTAGCATTTCTGTCTAGGCAAGAGGTTGCCACTGTCTGTTCTGATGCTTAGTGCTCCAGATATCACCCAGGTGAAAAGCCAACCACAGGTCTTGGGAGATCACAAAAAGTTAAGATTTCCAGAGACCGAATCATTTCATTTTTGCTTACAGAAGTCAGCCTTTGCCCTAAAATGACTGCTTTCTGTTGTGCTGGAAAAGCCACTTTTAGAGGAAAGCCTTTTCTTTTTTTTTGCTGTTTTGCTGCAAATCTAGCTTCTCATGCTGGACCAGGCAGGATTTTGCACAGTGGTAATGAGGGAAGCAGAAAACGTTGGGAATTTGTTTTGCTTTGTCATCTCAGTCCAAATTTGACCTGAGGTCTTTTTCTATTGCTGTCAGTGTTTGTTCAGTAGACTCTGCAGGAAATCCAGGCGTTCCAAAATTCCTGCTAGGTTTGACTCCTGCTAAAGAGGAGCAATCCCACAGCAGCACTGCCCTTTGCACAGGGCCTGTGGAGCTCCTGGACTCTGGGGAGGCACCTACATGGCCAGGGATGGGGAAAATGCCCAGCGCTGATGATTGCCTAGTGGACACTTTGTACCAGTGCTTGCCCTGCAGAGTAGCACTCCTGTCTTCCCACCTGCAGGGCCTGTTTTCCATGGGGAGGCTACTTCAGCAGACCTGGCTGCTACCAGTCCCCCAACCCTGCAGATAAAGTTGTGGGGAAATGCTGTCACTCTTGTTCCTCTCCTGGTCATGCTTGCGTTCCTACTGGATCGTCACTTCCCCTGATAAGTCTGGTCATGCTGTTCTTCTCCTTGTGTGTGAGCAGAGATGCAGCCAAGGCTTCTTATAGCAAATCCTAACTCTGCCCAACTGTGGACTATTCCTTCCTGGTCCTTAGGGACCTCTGTGTTGTGTGTTTCCTTGCAGGGTCCTGCTGTAGGCAGTGTCAGACCCTTGCTGATTAGGAACTGACTTCCTGCCCCATCCATGTGAACCACCAACTCTTCCTGTATGATCATGAAAGCTGTGTGAAGCCTGATTCCCAAATACATGAACCTCACCCAGATGTGGCAGTCTCATGTTGAGACATTTTAGTTGGCATGTGTGTAGATGGAAATGAGAATGCTTGAGTCTGCATACCATTGACTATCCAAATAAAGGCTCTGCTGTCCTATTTGTGCTCATTCTTGACCATTAGCAAAACGTGTTCAAAGCAGACAGTGCTGTGGAACAGAGCTGTGCCGTTTGGGGTGGCAGCTAGATGGGAAGATGCCCAAATGCAAAGATTCAAGTATCTCTGCTTTTACACTGAGACAGCAGACACAGATTAAATGCTATGTGGGAACTGGCAGCTCTTCTCATGTGAAACCCTCTCCCCTCCCTGATATCAAATCAAGTCACTATCAAAACATTTCAGCATACAGTGAACAAAGATGCTCTGGAAATATTCAGTCTCTGGTCAGTTCTAACAGCTCATTTTGATTTAGACTTGCAATAAGGAAGCCAGTCTTTTCAAAGTGAAAAATAGAAGCATTCCAGCCAGTTCTACTGCTCTCTGACCTAGGAAGAAATGTGCCTTTTTTTCCTTCCTAAAATAAAACTGATAAAACTCCAAACTGATGCTTACTTGCAGGACACTTCTCATTAACTTGTGATAATCAGATCAATTGTATATGGTCCTGGGCATGGTCTTCTTTTAGCCTTGCATAGGACTGTTTCTTTCTCAATATCAGCCCTGGCTATGAAGCTACTAGATTGGACTATAAGAGGCAGGTTGCACAGTTGGGCTTGAGGGTTACCTGGTAAGAGGGAAGATCTCTTTAGCACAACACCCTTGCAGCTCAGTATTCTCAAAGCAGCTGAAATCATTAACCAAGTGTGATTCACAGGCATTAATAAATAACTTATTCAGATTGATTTGCATTTTCTTCACTAAATTGCAGTTATTTTAATTATGTCTACAAGAGGTAGTGGGGATGTTGACCCCAAAGTGCATTTTGCGCTGGATATGGAACAGTTTTATTGACATTTCCATTGAGCGAGGAGGCCATGGCCTTGAGTGGACCTACACATCAGTTCTATTAAGAAATACTAACTCATTGGAAACGAGCATTTTGACATGATTCCACCTTGTGAAGGCTCTCAGTAGGTTTTGTTTTGTTCTGCGCTGTGGTAACATTAAACTTCAAAGCCTTGATGGTTTAATGAAATGCCGTTGCTGTTTTCAGGCCACTTTCAGCTGTAATTTTTGATGCAACCTTTCTGCCTGTCCAGGTATATCTGTGGGTATATGAAGTCTACCATGGAGGGAAGAGTACATTCTTCACATCTCTATTTTTCTGTCTTCCAAGTGGGTCTTCTGAGAAATGCAGCTTTCTCATGAGGATGTGATCCCCACTAATGGCTCTTGACTTTTAACGCCTGTCAGAAGGACCACATTTGGAGGCCATTATGAAACTCCGTCAGTCTGCTTCTAATCAAACCCTAGTTAAAGACTGTGAACTCTAATGCCTCTTTTAATTCCCAAGCTGGTCTGCTCTCTCTCTCCCATCTCTGCTTGGATATTGTCTCCCAGTCCCACTTTTCCAAGAATTTGAGGCTTTGGGTTTCAGCTGTGCTAGTGACTCCTTTTACTCTTTTCCCTTCCTTAACAGAAATTGAAGTTTCACTTGCCGAGACATCGAGAAGTTCGAGAGACTCACCAGCGATGCAACTGCCCAGCAGGTAGGGGTCTGCAACTGCGTGCACCTCGGAAGGGTGTTTTTTGTTTGCTTCTCATTGAAGGCTTGTATAGTGCTGCATTGTATATGAATGTGAAGCTATGCATGCTTGGGCTATAGGAAATGAACGTGGACAAGCACGTAATGAGTACGTACGTAAATGCTAATTATGCATATGACAGAAACAGCAGGAAAACCTACACATATCCAGAAAGTCATCTGGCTAGTCAATGAAGAGAGAAAGATGCATCCAGGGGGCAAATGATCCCATTAGCTTTAGATATCAACATTGAGGAGGGCAGAATGACTCCTAGGAGTTGTCTTTTTGGGTAATTTGAGAAGAGTTTGAGGCACAGAGGCTAGATCCAGTGCCAAAGCTGAATAACTAAATTTTGGTGAGACAAAATTGCTCTGAGCATGGAGATTTGAATTCCTTGGTGTTATACAACTATCTGAGGCATCTTGCAGAATAATAGCCTTCTCTTACAAGCACCCGTATATTAGGGTGGTTGAATGAAGTGGTCACTGAAGGTCCTACTCATAACATACAGAAATCTTATGGGATTGCTTAATTACATTATGTTTTTAATCATGCTAATATCAAAAGGCTCTTTGAGACTCTTCTTCTGAAGTGGTTTCAATACAATAAGTGACAAATTGCTATGGAAAAAACATTTGTGAATGGCATTTCATTCCATTAATATGAATCATACAGCCTTCCTCATTGTCTTTTGGTACATTTCACTGTGTAGAAGAAATGGATGTGCCAGCATTCTTCTAAACTTGTTGAAGTTTTGGAAGAGCTTGAATGTGTATAACCAAACTGAGTAGCTGAACTTCATCTCAAAAAGAAGGGCAGGGAAAGTTGTGCTTGAATAAGTATCTAAGACTTGCATTTGCATATTCTGTGGTTTCTTTCTTGGTTGCCTTGGTATTTTACAGTGTTTGGTAATGTAAATGTCAAAGTGTATTTTAGTATGATCAGCAATGGGACACTTGTAGAAGAATTGATAAAGGGGCCTGTCTTCAGTCAAAGAAGCGATGAAAGTCCGTCTTTACTATAACCAGTATTTGCTCATACTCAGCGCATTTAGGTCTTTGTACAAGCGTAGGAAGTATATTCTCTTTTCAAATTAAAATGGATTTGTAAGGTAGCTTGCAAAAGCAAGATGTAAAGCTCTACAGGTTTGTGATGTAAGAGAACTAAAATCTAGGGGTCAGATCTGCGTAACAGTGGAAAATGTCCCTTAAACAACAGGAACCGTTGCGGCTCAGATTTAAAAGACCATACAAATGAAATGCCTTCTCAATTTCTGCAAAATTAGATCAATTCTCAATTTCTGCAAAATTAGATCAAAACTGTGTTCAACTGTTTTTTAAGTTTCACCTTTTTACTTCAATGGAAACACAAACTGTATCTCTACTCCATTTCCAAGTTCCTGCCTAGACTTGACTTAGAAATGCCATAAAACCACAGGAATGAATATTCTCCTGGTGTTTCTGAGCCAGCTTGGAGAAGGAGTTGTAGGACTTAAGTGCAAAACAGGACGAAACAGAGATTCCCTGATCTTTGAGGCCATCTGAGTGTGACTCTCCTGCAATAAGTGTGTGTGGTAAGATTTACAACCTGGGCATTTGAGCATCAAGGTCATAATACCTGGTTACAGATACTCACATTCCTTTTGTGAAACCCTGGCAGCAGTTGATGCTGAATTTCTTGTAGCAAACTCAAGGTACCTGCTCACTTTGTGGAGCTCACTGTATTTCTGAAAGACAGCTATGATTTGGAAGGACAGTGAATGTCTTAAAGGGTCAGGCTTCCTGGCTACCTGTGAAAGTTTCATGTCTTCATCAAATACTCTGTGGCCACATAATCTATTTCTAAGAATCCATATCCTACACCAAATTTTCCCTTGGTCCAAATGTGAAGTTGTGGCAGGTGAAGTCTTAGTTGGCTGTGAGCAGTGCAGAAAAGGTACCTTTGGCCAGCCATTGTCTCATCTCAGATATTTTACTGTGGCATGTTTCCCTTCAGTCTCTGGGCCAAGACCTTGGGAATTTTCTTCCCCAGTGCATTTTTTTTTTGTGTGTCCAAATGCCCTGAGGACCAGACCGTGTGATCCTTCTGAGACACTCAGAAGCATTTAAGATGTTGCAAGACTTAGCACATGCGTATTCCTTCTCATTGGCCTACTCCACCACCTATAAACAAGCACACATCATGTTCCTCACCAGAAATAAATGTTTATCAGAAGTGACATTTCAGTACATCCCTAATTCTGAGTAAGGTCTCTGTGTGGCAAAGAAGGGGAAAAGGAAGACAAGTTCATCTGCTGAGCTGTTCGGTACGGATGTGGAGGTCCTGGGCAGGGTCACCCGTTGCCATAGGAGGGCTTCAGGACATGAGAGTCTGAGAATGTAAGTTGTTTGGGAAAACTGGGAACAGGGGAGCAAGAAGGCTGTGAAGTGTGTGACTGTGCCGTGGCTATCTGAGTGCACACGATAAGGACTGTAAGAATAACACGGTCAGGAAAACAGCACAGCTGTATTTATAGCAAACGATAAGGAATTATATGTTTCCTTCAGCTGGGAAGCTGGTACTTCAAATCACTTGGGCTGGGACTGGGCGTTACTACCTGTGAATGAGATGTTGCTCTGTGGCGTTGTTTTTTTCAAGTTCAGAGGTCACAGTGGGATTCTCCACCACTCTGGTAAGCTTCATGTGAGTTAGGATAAGGCTCTGAAGCCTCACTGGCAGCAATAACTGTACTGAATTGCTCATTAGCTCCACACTTTGCCTGGCAGCAAGGCAACATGTAGGTGGGGATTTCAGCACAGGGCGATACTTGTGGGATTTCGGTGGGACCTGGGTCTGATTTCTTGGATAGAGCCTTCCCTTGTAGCTTTTGTTTATGTGAGGGAAGTGTTTCTTTTCCACACGAGGTCTGGGCATAGCTGAGAGCTCAGGACAGCTACCTGAGTTTTAGAGGAGCCTCTTGTGACCTCCCTTGATTTCTGCCGCAGAATAACACAGTAATGAAATGCTGTAAGGGAAAAGCACTGTGTTTGAGTTTGACAGAGTGAAACACTGATCCTTACCGGTCTGATCCAGACCCAGTTGCAGTACAGACGTTGTCTGCCTGGACAATCTCAAACAGCCAAAGATTACCACCAAGACCCCCTCCCACAGCCTTCCTGGCGGAGGTGGGCGCCTGTGTATTTTATATACTGTAACTCTTTTTATTAGACCTTTCCCATCTCTCTCTCTTCAGCTCCTATTTTCACAGTCCCCACACGACTGTTTTTCACTTTGCTGGCTCACTACTCCAGTCTTCAATATCCCTTAAAAAAATAAAGGGCTGGCTCCTTTCCCTCTGCCTCCGCACTGCTTGTTTTGGTCCGGTTTCTCCTTAGGCAGGTTGGGAGTCTGCAGTGCTGGAGGCGGTCAGCTGCACAGGCAGGGAAACAGCTCGGAGGGATGACCAACGGCTTTTCCATCCCTCCCAGGGCCCAGGAGGGAGGTGGGCTTGGGGAGATGGTGGCTCTTGCCCTTCAGCTCCTGGGAATGAGCTGGGTGGTCAGCAGGAGGTCATTCAGCCCCAGTGCAGCTTGCATAGAACCTCACCTGTGTACCCCATTGCCTGCCCCGGCCTCTTGGCTGTTCTTGTCAGTTCTGTTTGGCCATTCAATATTACTAGTAGTAGCCACTGCAACTCAGAATGTTGCTACGTTTACCTTGTAAGGTGGCTGGTGAGAGCAGAGGTGCAGTGGTGGCCCCAGAAGTGGCCTGGGCTGTGTAATGCGTAGCGTGCACACTTGGTCCAAGCATCCTGCTTGCCCCTGGAGGAGGTCAGCAAGAAGTGTTGCAGGGCTGAGGCGGGGCCTTGGCTCCCACCCAGGATGTGTCACCCAGTGCCGGCAAGGCCAGCTGGCAGGAGGCGGCAGGATTTCCCACGTCCTGACCCCTGCCTGGCCCGGCACGGGGAGGAAACATTGGGAAGGGCATGACCAGGTCTGGCGGATGTGGATGGTAGGGATGGAGAATGATCCTGGGCAGTGTGGGCTGAGCAGCATCGCAGCACCCAAGCAGGATTTTGGAGCCCTGGTGTGGAGTGGAAAGGTCAATCCGTGGCTATTTAAATGCCAGGGGCTACAAGCTGAGTCGGTGGCTCTGACTCAGAGCCAAGAGAAATGTGAGGCAGGAGCGGATAATGAAACACTCAGGCTCACAGCCCCTCTGTCAGGAGGTGTGTTTGAAGTGCTATGTTTTTGTTTGACCCGTTTTTGGGATAAGTCAGCAGTTTTCCGTGTTGGCTACGCAGAGGATGTTCTGGGCTGTAAGGCAACGATTTTTCTGCTCTAAAAATGTCTAAATGCAGCTTATTAACAACCTCTAAGGAAAAAAACAAAACAAAACAAAAAAAAAAAAAAAAAAAAGAGAATGAAACTTTATGCATCTCCTCTTTCCCCGAATATACCTTCAAAGCCCTTGTGAGTGGCCTGCTGGAGAGCCGAGCTCTGCTGGGCTGCCATGGCTGAGCATCCAGCAGTGCTGTGGCTGGAGCAGCACATTGCTGCATCAGAAAGTGCTGTTAGCTGGCACAGCAACCCATGGTGCAGCACGTCTGGAAGCCAAGTTGCAGCATCATCATTGCTTAAATACTTCTGCTCATTTCTCCCTCCTTTTTAAGAATTCTCCCTGGGAATTCTATTATTCCCTGAAATTTAACTGTGTTCTCCCATCCACATTTTTCTGGCCCTCTAGAGTATACACACACTTCAGCCTCGAAGGTTGCTCATGCGCCATGGCCTGCTGGCTGTATTTTGGGTTGGGGTTTGTTTGGTTTAGGCATACTGTTGTTTCATTTGTTTTGAAGATGCAAACCACACAATGAATTCCACAGATTCTGAGAGCAGTTATGAATAGATGGGGATGAGCGACTCAGAAAAAAACAAACAAACAGTTTGTTTGGTCAACTAACTCTTTCTCAGAACACGTAGGCA